GGGCGCCTCGAACGCTGGCCCGCTGCGCCATGGGCTTGAGAGTGGCCGCACGCGGAAGCAGACCCAGGAGATGCAAGGTGCCGGGGAGATGCCGGGGCCCGGAGAAACACCGGACCCGGAAGCGGCATTGCTGGCGACCATCCTGGAAACTGGCGGCACGGGGAATGTTGAGGACTACATCTGCAACTCGCTTGTGAAGGAGCAGTGGGACGAGGAGCAGACACGCCGTATGGCGGAGATGTACAGGCGCGAGATGCAAGAGGTGTTGGGCCCGAAACAGCAGGCGTTCGGGGCCGAGGTCGACGCCAGCGGGTCTTCACATCCACTCCCAGACCCACAGCTAAATATGACCTCGCCAATCGGGTAGAANTGATGTGGAAGCAATACCGATGACGTACAAGGATGTGATGTGTTCCAAGTACAAGGTTTTCTGGGAGGCGGCCATGAAGAAAGAGATAGATGACCACGACAAGACTGGAACCTTTACCAAGGTCAAGGAGCTGCCCGACGGGCGGAAGGCCATCGGTTCAAAGTGGGTGTTCTCTTGGAAGACGAATGAGAAGGGCCTGATAGTCGACTTCAAGGCCCGTATGGTTGCGCGGGGTTTCTCTGAAATCCCCGGCATCGACTTCCACCACTCATCCTCAGCGAGCCCGTCTGCAGCGTCTATCAAGACGGTGATTGCCGTAGCCACTGAAAAGGGCAAGAAACTCGCTCACTGGGACGTGAAGCAAGCGTACATCCACGCTAAGCTAAAAAACGAAATATACCTCAGGTTCCCGGAAGGCTGTGGTAGCATGTCCGGCAAGGTGGTCAAGGTTGAGCGTGCCCTGTATGGCCTAAAGCAGAGTGGCCGTGAGTGAGGGTTTGAAGCTGCCGATGCCCTCATCGAGTATGGATACGAGCAGTGCAGGGTTGACCCATGTGTCGTCCGGAAGGTGGTGGATGGAGAGGTCGTAGGTCTCATCGTGATCTACGTTGATGACATCTTTGTGGCGGCAGACGAGGGAGAGCGAGAGGAGTTGTTCGCTTCCCTCAGCAAGACGTTTCCGGTGAAAAATCTTGGGGAGTGTACCTGGTACGACGGGTGTGCTATCGCCATGGATGTAGAAAATGGCATTACCAAGCTGTCCCAGACAGCATACATTGAGAGTATGCTGAAGCGGTTTGATGTGACCACGACCGCTTTCACCCGTGCTGCTACCGATGCCGACCTAGGGCCGAAGAGAGATGACGAGCCCGCGGTGGATAAGCCTGTGAGGGAGGCGATCGGATGCCTGATGTTGACGAAGCTGACGAGGCCAGGCATCGCCTTGCCTCTGAAAAAGCTCCAGAAGATCGCCCACTCACCCACCGGGAGGATATGGAACGCGCTTGTGCGGATCATGTCCTACCTGAACTTCACGAATGACTTCAGCATCACCTACGTACGGGGGTCAGGACTAGACCTAAGCGTGTTTGTCGATGCCAGCTACACTGACAACGAAGTAGACACGCGTTCGACGACCGGGCTAGCTGTGACCGTGGGTGGTACCGTAGTGTGTGCATCCACCAAGACGCAGCCAGTGACGGCTCAGTCGACCTCGGAAGCAGAGTATATGGCAGCCGGCGAGGGCGTAAAGGAGGCGTTGTTTGTGCGTGGCGTTCTGTCGTTCATAGCGCCGGAGACGAGTGGGACGAAGATCAAAGTCCTTGAGGACAACAAGAGGGCTCTCGCCTTGATCGAGAACCCGTTCAGCTCAGCGAGGAGCAAGCACATCGACGTGCGGTTCCATTTCATTCGCGAGCTATTCAAGTCGGGCAAGATCACTGCAGAGTATGTTCCGACTGGAGAGCAGCACGCAGACATGGTGACCAAGGTCCTTGGCAGAGAGAAGTTAAAGTACCACCGGAAGGCTCTGATGAATCTATCGATGTAGTGTTCTCTTGTTCTGTTTGGTTCATGTGGTGGTTTTAGCACTTGGCATATATGACCATGGTACGTACGTCACGCAGAAAGTGTTGTGCCGGCGCGTCACCCGCGGCTGGAGCCTAGAAACGCCGAGAGCTTTGCTTCGGTTGTGTAATCAGCGTGACCGGTTCAATCTGTCCTGCCTTGGTCTTGTCTTGGAAGTGCGGCCGTTGGAATCCTCGGTGATAGCGACGGTTTTCTGTATTTAGACTAGGGTGTTAGACGAGGGCTTTTGATCCGGTCGACCGGGTTTTCCCTCGAGCCTGTTGTTGTTTTGAGTCCCATTGGTAGATCAGGGGTATCCATGCCCCACGTTAGGTTTGCCAATCGCGTGCAAACCGGGGGGGGTGTTCGTGTGTTTGGATACGGACTGGTTAGATCTACCGGCAACAACAGAGGGCACGCAGATGGGGCATATGTACACCTTGAAATGGTTGCATGTGCGGGGACCCCTCGAACTCCGTATAGGGCTTCACTTCTCCCTACTCCCCTTGCGTATCTAATACAAGAGATAAAACGTCTTCCCCTTCCAAGTAAAGGACATATACGAACACAGCCAGGCAGCGCCCCCGCAAACTAGCCACACGTACGACTACCGCATGGTTTTGGCGTACGATAAAAGCACCATCAGTGTGAAGATGCCTCTAGATGCAAACGATGTAGACGAGGCGAACGCAGCCGATGGAGCGTGGGCGTTGATCGAGCCGATCGACGATTCGAATGAGCCGGCGGGGGGCTGGGAGGATGAACAGCCACGCCGGCAGGGCAGTAGGGCGCGAACCCCCAACGTTCGCAACATTGACCAACCGGGACAGAGCATGCCAAGTTGTGACAACTTCACCAATCGATTTCGAAGGCGTTAGGGATATATATACGGAGTATTTTGTCCGCACGCATATTATTAGCACAATGACTTTGCGCTTCTTCATTGTTTCAGTTCAGTACCGCCGGGTATCGTGCAAGCATGTACCTCGCGGGTAGTGCAAAGCTTCGTGGCTGGAAAAGGAAATAGGGATGATAAGAAATCGTGCAATCTGCATGGTGGCGAAAAGATAGGAAATGGCGAAAATACGAAATCGTGCAATTCTCGTCGGGGAAAAATAAGAAATGCTGACATTAGAAATTCAACTCACTATGGCTGCGGCAATAAGATTTGAGCCTCAGCTGAAATCGGTATTTCTCACGAGTGGGCCTGCACTGTAGCGACAGATGGATTGGACATCGCGGGCTACCTTCCATGACAAAAGTACGGCTGGCTCTATGCCAGGTCCACTACGACGGAGACAAGCTATTTCCGTCTAGTCTACGACGGGGACAAACAAGCCCTTTCCGTCCGTTGGGTAGCCTCCTTCACGCTCCTGCCTACCTAGCGTCTTCGTCCTTATGTATGCTTACAACGAAACTCAAGCGTTTCTTTGGGGTCCGTGGGTCGTACAATGGACATTCCGCCGTTTCCTACCATTAATAATTAGCTATGAATTGATTTATGGGTACCACTCACTCACTGTACGACATACACACTTCATTTTATTATTTTCGGGGTCCGCTCCGCGTGATGAATTTGTTTGTTCGCCGGACCCATCGCCAAAGAAAGTGCGTGCGAACCATGAAGATGATAGATACATGGACTTATCTCAGCCATGGTCAGCAACTATTATTGTTTCATGTTTGTCACGGGTGGACTAATTGTGTACAGTATATTCGTCCCCCCCGTCGGTGTTTGCCATCGGGATTGGGTTTTCGTCGCTTGGCAACCACGTTGTAAAACAAGCCAATTCACTTCGTGAACTCGGCAACCA